GATCTACTCGACCACCATTATGGTTACCGCCCAAAAAAAAAACCGAAGATAAAAAAAAAAACGGTAACCTGGTTGCCGAGTTCACGAAGTGAATTGGCTTGTTTTACAACGTCGTTGCCAAGCGACGAAACCCAATCCCGATGGCAAACACCGGGGGGGGCGGCTTGTTTTACAACGTCGTTGCCAAGCGACGAAAACCCAACCCCGATGGCAAACACCGGGGGGTGGGGGGGTGGGGGAAGTTATTGGATTACCCCTCCCTTCTCTCGATCTCCTCGAAGACCTTCTCCCAAACCAAACCTCATGAAAGAGGGGCTGTCAACCCCCGGTAGTTGGTAAACACTATTCATGCTATGACCTGGAACTCCTCCTAACGAGGGTACCGTAGCCTGTGTCGTCGACCATGCTTTCGTAAATCCATATGAATGCGCGGGTTTCCGGTGATGGGCCCACTTCCACAGAGGTAATCGCACGGTGCCTCAACAGTTTCAGAAAGAACAGTAGTCTACCCCAGCGCGACGAAATATCGCCGATAAAAGAATGTATCCGACCATGCACTTGTGTTGTCGCGAAGAAGTTGCTGTACAGTACGCCTCTTGCCAAAGCGGTCGAATTGTTTCTTGTCTGCTCGAACAGGGTTGCACAGCAGTGGTGAGTGCCGCAGGTAACTCGGGTGTGTGTTCTCGGCGAGGGTCGACGGCCGCACGTACGTGATCAGACTCGACGTGGTTCAACTTGCAGTGATGTTGTGATTCCACGCTTGCGTCTGCCAAATTCCCACGCTCGTGCCTCGCCCGCGTGGACATGAGGTCGTGAGCTACGCAGACCTGATAGGCTTCGCTGTGTTGTCGTCTTTATGGGAATGAATGCTCTTCAGGGTTTGTGAACCTCCCGCTGTCGAAGTTCGAGGAGTGGAGCGACAAGCTCTCCGGGGAAGGCGCGATCCTCGACGCCGAGAAGGACACAGTCGTCATGTGCCACCACGGCATGAGGTAGGGGGGGTTCGCTTGACGCTTGCGCAGGGCATCAACTAACCATAAGCGCTGCTTGGCCTAGTCGGTCTGCGTTTCTTGTCTCACGAAAGCGTGCCTCCTTCGTACGTACCGGTATGCCGCAGAGGGATTAGGTCGTCGTTGATGTTTTGTAGTGGGTGGGAGCCCATTTGGTAGATTTTGTTTAGCACCACAGAAGGCGTCCGCATGGGTTGGACGGGTGCGAATGGTACGGAGAAGGTACTCAGCAGAGAACGGCACGATTTTAATGTGAAGACGACATGCGCAACAGCAACGGCAGCAGCAGCAACAACAATAATAACATGTGCTTCACTTCGTATAACAATGTAGGTCGAACCAGATGGCCCAACACCTGGCGACAAAAGCCGGCTTCAAGAAGGTCTGGAACGTGGAGGGCGGTCTGCACGCCTACGCCAGCCATGTCGACTCCTCCGTAGGAGTGTACTGATCAGAACGGCCGGCTTCAGCGCTCTTGCGTTGTGACACGCATCCGTCACGTGGCGAACTGGGGAGGTTTTGCTCGCGATAACCACCCTCGACGCGCTCGTTCTAAAACGTTTTAGCAACTTTTTTTTGTTTTGTATGGGGTGGTGTTGCTCATCCAAATACGGCATCGCTCCTCCGAGCGTCGCCCCCGGAGAGTCTCCTCAGGGCCGCGCCAAAGGAGAGGTATGATTCGGCCACCCCGTTTCCCGGGGGGAGGTTAACCAGCTCGGACGAATTAATCTCCGCGTCAAGTTTAACAGCGAAAATTGTTCATTGTAGCGGTTCCGCCGAGATATTTTCCATTCCCACAAAAGGCGTACACATGTTGCTGAGAGCACGCACCGCCTGCCCAACGGACTACGGGAGTGAGGGCCCGAGGGCCGGAACAGGGGTTGGGCGTGTGTCAAAAGTTCGACATCGTGAGCCAGATCATCGAAGTTGCCTGTTGACTTTGCATGGGACGAATTGAATTTGGCTCCAATATCCCTTGCGTGAAGGCAGAGAGACGGAACAACAACTGAAAATAGACGTGTGTGTGCCACAACCCATGCCCACTGGGACGCGTTCAACCTACAAAAATAGCAGAACGGCGGTTATTGCGTAGCAAGCAAAGGTGTCCTCGCCCCGCACTGCTGTCTCTCTCTTCCTTGTCACTGTCTCCGTCTCTCTCTCTCTTCCCTATATCTGTTCGTGGTGTGTGTTGAGCGTGTAAAAAAAAGTACAAACAAGCCAGGAATCGGCCGGGTCTTTTACACTCATTTAGGACGGCTACCTTACAGTCGTAAGGTTTCTGGTGTAACAACGTGTATGTGACTTGTGCCGCATACCGCCGTGGGTTCGAATCACGCCTAGCCCGTGTTTTCCAATTCCAATCCGAGTAGGAGTGGTAAATGGTAAATAGGACTGGTTTCTGCTACGGAAACAAACGAACCTTATTTTTTGGCACCGTTTTTTTCAAAGCGGTTGTCGGACCGCCATGTATTAACCGCGACCGGTTCTCTCAGCTCGCGAAAGCTGCGCGCACGAGATCGCGGCGGTGCTGCGCGACCGACGCCTCGACGGCCCTGTCCAAGGAATTTCAACTGAAGCGACACCGCTGCCAAACGCAAGCATTTTGTCTTGCTTTTGCCTTCATCAGCATTCCTTCAACGTATTTTTAGTGTCGGGCGTTTTTTGCTCTTCTTCGCCGCAGCTGAAAATTCTCTGAGCTAAACAACGCCACGACGATGAGGTTCGTGGCCCTGCCTGCGCACACCCCATCCCTCGCCAGCACGCCAAGCGTTTCACCTCGCATCGCACGCAGCGCAGCGAAAGACCACGAGTACCGCCCCAAATCAGAGGCGTTACCTCATGTCACGAAACAAACGAGAACTAGAACGAGTCTCGATAACCACGTGACAACCTCTGCTCCTCGCCGACTTTTGCGTTTCTGTCGCGTTCAATTGTTTCTGTGATGTTACATCTTGTCAGCACCAAGGCTTGTGCTTGGTTTTTCTTAATGGTGCAATTGACGCCCGGAGGATGCTCCTTCTTAGCATCCAACTAACTGTCTCTCTGTAGATTGAGATTGTCGAGGCTCGAGTTGCAAGTGCTGCCCACTGAGAAACGGAACGCGTCAGACAGGCCACGCCGACAATAATACTGGTCGAGTTGCCAACATCCACGTTGCAGCAGCTCTACTCGCATGTTGCAAGGGCACGCCTGACTACACTCGGCTATTATGTTTTGCGGTTGGTTTCGCAGAATATCATGGTTCAGTCCTATGTACCCTTCGTGTTCCTTGTCAATAATGAGAAAGAAGAAGCGAAACAGCGGCGTTCAATGGGGCACCATGTGCCACCGTGAAATCTCATGGTGCCCCATGAGAATAATCTCAGTGGGTCTCATGGGGCCCCATGAGAGCCCATGACATCATTTCCACGTCATCCCATGGGGCCCCATGGAAAATCTCATGGGCCATTTTCCATCGCTCCCCATGGGAAACCAAGAGGAGATAAGTCCCAGAATTCAAAAAATCGTAAAAAAAGGGAATCTCATGTTGCACCATGGGCCGCCATGGCGCTTCATGGGTACCCGGTGCAAAAATATGACACAACGAGTCCATCTCTATCATAGAAAAGAGTCAGAGACAGATTAACAATGGAATCATAGCGTCAGAGAAAACTACCTGTCTGTATGTCTACGATTTCCCAGACAGCATATAGGGACATCTCCCCTGCGGGTAACAGGCTCAACAAATCAGTTTGGTAGCTGTCTTGTGTGTCTCATACATGTTATGTTGGGGAGGTGCAGACGGATGATGTTGGGTACTGTTAGTTAGTTTTTTTTAACTCATCCCAAAACGTGTGTCCCACCCCAGCAGAAGTTGCTCGACATCACCACCCCAACTTTGGACCTCCGCCCAATAGCCTTCCCATCTGCCGGTGAGGGATGTCTGCAGCTGGGAGAGTGCCTCCCAGGTGGCAAAACGCAAGAATTTGAACAAAGAGGGAAGAGAGGAGGTGATTCGGTACCTCCTCGCTGGCAGCACGAACGGGGTTTTGCGGTATGGTGCGTTCAAGGAAGCCGGCGAGAAGTTCGGCTACTACTGGGAGACGATCAAGAGGCTGTGGATGAGGTACTATACGCAGCACAAAGCGGGGGTCGCCAGTCCAAAGATAGAGAACCGGCGCATGGGAAATAGCGGCCGGAAGGGCATTCCCCTCGAAGAACTCAGGGAGCGCCTGCGTGACATCCCGCTGAACCGCACCACACAGCGCCGCTTGGCTGCGGCGCTTGGGATTCCCAAAAGCACGCTGCACAGGAATCCCAAGGCGCTCGGGCTGAGGGCTCACTCGAACGCGCTCAAGCCGTACCTGCAACCAGCCTCCCAACAGCCCTGACACCAACATCCTGGACCTGGGCTTCTTCGCGTCAAACCAGTCCCTGCAGGACCGCTACAAGCCCAGAACTATCGACGACCTCGTCGGCGAGGTCGAGACCGCGTGGGAGAAGGCGTCGCCGGACAAGCTTGGCAAGGTGTGGACTTCGCTCCAGGCTTGCTTGGAGCGAACCTTGCTCTGCGGCGGGGACAACACCTACAAGGTCCCTCATTTGAGCAACGACAAGGCTGCACGGGCGGGGACGCCCATCCCACTGCGGTACCAGATCTCCGAGGAGGCGTGGATCAAGGGCACATCGTCGCTCGAGGCGGGAGAGGAACAAGGAGGAGCCGCGTAGAAAGGGACGGGGCGGGCGGGTAGTTCAATGCTTTTCGGTTTCCGTGAGCACGTTTTCGGCAGAATGTCGTGGACCTGTAGCAGGAAGGAGCACCGCGTTTAGCGTTGGCCATTCTTTTTTCCCACTAAGTTAGGCAGAGGCGACGGCAGATTGCAAACGTACAGCAGTTGTGGCGGCGATGATGTTTTAAGAAGGAGCAAATACATTTGGACATATTGTGAAGAATGCAATGGGCGGTGAACAACGGGGTATGAGTGTTCAACTTGTGCGAGCACTACTGCTGTAACGCGACGTTTTGACACCCCAAGTAGCGGCGATTCTACTGCTGCTGCTGCTGCTGCTGCTGCTGCTGCTGTCCACACGCCAATTGTACCCCTGCCCACCCCCCACTCCAACTTGATGTCCGAGCTAACCAATTCAACAAGCGGGGCGGTGCTGTCATTAAATAAGCCCGGATTTTCATTTTTGAGTGCGGTCTTGATTCATCAACAACGGCTGCCCCATTTCTCCCGTGGCTGGGTACAAGTATGCTCGATTTCCCTGGATTTCACAACCAGGGGATGGAAACGGATTATCCCCTCCCTATGTGACCGAAATATTTTTTCGTCCGATGTGGTATCTCATGACATGCCGAAATTGTTTGACGTCTGACAATGACCAAACTGCCTATTTTGGAGCATATAGTGCAAACCTCGCTTATATTCGGAATATCCAAATCACGCTTATTATATATCGGGGAAGAGGGAGTACTACAGTATTACATACTCGTACACCACGTTCTACTCGTAGACAGAGCATGATGAGCCAATCAATGCAACTAGCCTAGACTACACATCGAATATCTGAATTTTTCCAACAGTCAACTGAAGTACGATCACTTCACACACGATCATGCACGGTAGAGCGGAAAGCAGTCATCAGACAGCTCGATCTGCCTCGATTGCGACACCGTTGGTCTGGTGTCGATCAGCACGATACGTGAACGTGAAAAGGCAGTTCCGTGTCGGAATCATGGCATCTTCTTTTTCAAGAGGGTGGTGGGAAGAACCCACCGGGTGTGTTTTTTTTTCGTGGACTCCGATATCGAAGCCAGTTTTTTGTTTTTTTTCTTGTCGGGTGCATCGCCATCAGCAGCACTCCACACGACTTGCACTGCATACCTACTTGCAGCCTGAGACACTTGTCCCCTCAATACGTGCCAGACAAATTATCCTCCGTACAACATACGGTACCACAAAGAAACAGACTCAGTGCTGTCAGCTGCGGCTTCACAACGCAGGCAGGACTGAAGACAACGACACGCACGTACACCTTGCCGCTAACACAAGTGTTACCAACGCTTCTGTGACTGCACTACTCTTCTTCCGTTGCGAAGCAGCTTCGACGACATACAAAACACACGCGCTCTCCGAACACAAAGGCGAAACGTCAACAGGAAACGACAAATGACTAACAACGGTTGCGGGGTGTCTATCGTCACTCAATACATCGCCAGACACCAACCCCACCGCTTACACAAAAAACAGAAGAAAACGTCCGGTCCGTCACTCTTGGCCACGCGACTCACCCGGTCACAACCTCTCTCCGTAGGTATGGGACTGCAACACACAAACACCGCAGTTTTTCACCCCGGGGCGGGTACCCCGCTCCTCGGTGCATTACTGTTTTAGAGACGCTCAAACCAAAAGGAATTCAGCGTATGATTGCCAACAGAGACCATTTACGTCTGGTACCTGCGACGACAACATAGNAGACCATTTACGTCTGCTACCTGCGACGACAACATAGCTAGTTGCCATCGTACTGCAAACAACACAGAGCACAGCCGTACATCAGGGGGCAGAAATCTCCACTAACAACTGGTGGCGTACACACACAATGCGAGACTCTTCGAAAACACACAACGTATATACTACGGCTGCATGAGCGCAGAGACCTTCTAGAACGTACCGTACCACGCACAGGTGTATACCG